TAAGCATTAACGGTTCCTTTCAATAAACCGTTAGACATCAGCAGTACAATTATTTTTTTGTTTTCCCATAGACTATATCTATAGTAAAAAGCCAAACATTTGCCAGAGTATTTTAAATTCTTCTGTTCTTTGTACTACCTAGTAAAGCTGTGTGTGTGTGTGTGTGTGTGTGTGTGTGTGTGTGTTTGTATTTTCCCCTCCTTGTTTCTTTCTTTTTTTCCTTTCTCTCATTGCAGTTGTTCCTTCCTTTGAGCAATTTCTTTCCCTTTCAAATCAACCAATAACAACTGCTGGCGAGGCTGTGGGGAAAAAGGAGCCCTTCACTGCTGGTGGGAGTGCAGATTGGTGAAACTGCTATGGAAATCTGTGGAGATTCCTCACAAAACTAGGATTAGAGGTTCCACTTAACCCAGCTAGTCCCCTCCTGGGTATTTCTCCAGAAGAACTAAAACCATCATAACACAGCAATATATGTGCACCCATGTTTATAGCAGCACCATTTGTCATAGCTAAATTTTGGAGACAACCCAAATACCCATCAACGGAGGAATGGATAAAAAAGATGTGGTATTTTTATACAATGAAATACTACTCAGCTATAAAAAAAGATAAACTTGAGGCTTTTATAGGTAAATGGATGCAACTAGAAACCATACTCACAAGTGAAATAAGTCAGACGCACATGTGTGAACATCGTATTGTCTCCCTAGTGTAAGAACCTAAAAGAGTAAAGAAAACCCAAAATGTACAATACATTGGCAGATTTAATGTGTACTAATCACTCACAAGAGTAGAGAACTAATAACTTGATTTGAAATTGCAGTAAAAATGCACTGAATATAAAATAAGCACATTACTGCTGGAGCTGTACTTTAGGTGAAATTATATATAGAGCATTACTTTTAGGCTCAATATAGCCAATGAGGAAACCTCTGCTTTCACTTACAGTATGGAAAAATCTGTAGTGTGTGTGTGTGTGTGTGTGTGTGTGTGTGTGCATTTTTTTTTCTTTTGGTCTTTTTGAGACAGGGTCTCACTACGCAGTTCAGGCTGGCCTTGAGCTCACTTTGTAGCCCAGACTGATCTTGAACTCTCAATGATCCTCCTGCCTCAGCCTCCCGAGTGCTGGGATTACAGGCATGCTCCACGATGCCTGGCTCATAAAATCTGTATTATAAAACTGGGTGGAAAACTAAGTATAGTTTGGAAATGTGTTCTCTCTTTGCTTTCCTTTCTCCATCCTTGATTTGTTGTTTCTGCCACTCATTCTACAAATACGTATCGACACTGTTATATACTACCAAAAAAGAGACAAAGGTTATATTGCAGGACGGTAGTAAGGGAATAAGCCAGTAAGGAAATAAATAAAATCTAGTAATTGTGATAAATGCTAGGCAAGAAATCTAAGTGGTATGATAATCTTTTCTAATCAATACAATGACTAGAAAAGATCTTTACATACTTGTGACTTTTATACTAATATATGGGAGGTGAGAAGCAGTTGTGATGAGTACCATGGACAAGGTGACAGCACTGGGAAAGATACTGAGACTGCGATCTTTGGTGAGTTAGGAACTAGTAGAGGGGATATGAGTGGAAAGAAGATGTCGTGATAAGTACAGACTAGATCTTGCAGGACTCTGAAGATCCCAGTGAGGAGTTTGGATTTTACTATTTAGGGAGCTACTGAAAGGCTTTAAGTAGAATTGTAATTTTCCTTGCCTTTTAAAAGACATCTGTATGCTGTGTAGAAAATGGACTTCCAAGTATGTAAAGAGAGACAATTTAGAGGCAGCTGCAGTTGTCAAGGTGGCTTAAACATTATCGTGGCAGTGAAAAATGAAGTGCTATATTTCAAGATTGTTTAATAGCATAGACTCCATAGGACTAGGTGATGCATGGATTCGGATTGTGAGAGCCATCAGTGAAGGTGTCTTAATACTTGTCTTAGAGAGATGGGGAATCCTGTTTAGGTTTGGGTTTTGGTTACTCTTGTATTATTAACATGGAGATTCAGAATGAGTAGTTGGGCGTGTGAGTCTGGTTGTGTAGGGAATGAGTCCTCATAGCCATTGATAGTATTTATAGCTCTGACCTTGTGTGATGTCAGCTAGGAAGAGAATGTCAAATGTGTATGTTGAAATTAAGAAGAGAGCTTGGCACCAAGCTCTGGAATTCTAAGCTCTAGAGCTTGTATGATCCTGGAGGAGGCAGCAATGGAGCCCAAGGATTGGCTATAAAGGAAGAAGGAAAAATGATGAGAATAGAGTTATACAGTAGAAGCAGAGAGGAGAAGATGCTTTGAGGAGTTGTGCTTGACTGTGTATAATGCTGTGTAGAATGAGGGGCCTTGTAAATAACAGATGAAGCCATAGGAAGGTCATTGGTGACCTGGACAAGAGCACTTGTCAGTGACGTCTAGGAAAGACTGAAGCTAGATTGAGAGGAAGCAAGGAAGTGGCATATATAGATAAGCTTCTGAGATGAGCCATCTGACTGTGAAGAGTAAACAGAGAAATGGAGAAGTACTTGGAGGGCATGAGGGGGTCAAGGAAGTCAAGGAGATCTTTTGTTACTGAGGTGCCCATAGTTGAGCATGTTTTCGTGCTGCTTTTTTTTTTTTCGTTTTTTTGTTTTTTTGTTTTTTTGCCGATACCGGGAATCAAACCCACAACCTTGTGCTTGTCAGGCAGGCGCTGTGCCACTGAGCTAAATCCCAGCCCCCGTGCTGCTTTTTTTGAGTAATGTGGTAGAGCAGGGTGTGGACCAAAAGGGAGAACTAAGAGCTCTATGTGAAGGAAGTTATCTACAACTTCAGGGAAGGGGCTTGCCTTTGTTTGAAGAATGAAAGCATCTGCAAGCAGGTAGTAGAAAAATAGAGGAAGTTCTTGGCACTCACTTTATTCTGCAAAATTAAGTTTGTTCTTTACCTGGTTCTTGCATTCTTCAATTTTCTAAGCATAGAGCATCTTCTAGTTTGTATTAAAGAAACGAAGAAATAGAAATGTCATACACTGACATTTATCTTTCGAAGGAGAGGGGAGATTAGAAAGAGTGCAAGGTGTGTATTGATGCTCACAAGAAGTTATGTTCATTTTGTTAAGATATTTAACTTTTTTTTTGAAAAGTGAAGGCATAAGCTGCAGGAGAAGAGAAGAGGCATAGGGATGCTTTATTTTATGAAGTCCTTTCCATCTTCTGTAGGAATGTTGATACTTCTCCCAAGTTGCTCCCTACTCCCCTCAGTACTGGAGATTGAAACAGGGCCTTCAGACTGAGCTACATTACAAACCTTTTTTTTTTTTTTTGTATTTTATTTTGAGACAGGCTCTCACTAAGGTGCCCCAGCTGGCCTTGAACCTGTGGTCCTCATCCTCCTAGAATTCTGGGATTACAGGCATATGCCACCATACCTGGCTTCAGGTTGCTCTTCATGTTCACCTTGTAACATATTGCAGTCCTGTCCCTGCTATTTGAATATTTCCTTTATTCAGTATTTAGTACTGACTCGTGTGGAGTAGATACGGGAGACTATTTGTGGTCAAGTAGAAGTATACACTCCTGAGGTGGCAGGGACCTTTTATTTTGTTTACTGATTCATCCCTAGGACTTGGAACAATGCCTGGCAGGTAGTAGACCCTCAAGAAATAATAGTTGGCTGGGCATGGTGGCACACTCCTGTAAGCCCAGCACTCAGGAGGCTGAGGCAGGAGGATCACTTCAAGGCCACTTGAGGGCCCCCTAGGCTACAAAGGGAGTTCAAGACCAGCCTGAACTGCATAGCAAAACCTTGTTTCAAAAAAGAAAAGAAATAACATTTGAATAAATAAACAGCTATGAAAATAAAATAAGCAGCACCATACTGTATTAGTGGACCTGGAGAGTGAAATGACTGCAAAATCTTCAAAATGAAAATATTTCCTCTTTTATCCAGATACCAAATTCTTATGTGGAACAGTGTGATATGGTAGAAAGAACATGGGTACAGTACCAGATTAAACAGATGTGGATCATCTCTTTGTCTTCTAATAGCTTGGATATGTTTCTTAACCTCACCTTTGTAAGATAGGAATAGGGATAATGTACTTCACAGAATTATTGTATACCTACACTGTACATATGATGCATATAATGTATATGTAACAGTATAGTAAGTCCTCAACAAAAGGAGTTTGTTATTGGTTTCTTATTTGTTAAATACTTACGAGTTTAAGTACTGGAATTAAACTTAGTTCCCAATAATTCTTTTCCTATAAGAAAAACAAACTTGCATCTTTCTGATTTCTAGTATATTAAAGAACTGAGTGTGAAAGGCAAAACTAGAAAGCCTTTAGACAATAAGAGAAGATAACTGTGCATAGGAGGATGAAGGATTTTAAACAAGAAGTAAAAATTACCAACCGTGAAGGAAAAGAATGATAAATGTGACTACATTAAAATTAAAACCATTATCAGTAGGCACCATAAAGAGAGTGGAAAAATGAACTAGAGTAGAGTAAATTTGAATTACATGTAACTGCCGGAGTATGTAAAAAGCTCCTTCAAATCAACAAGAGAGACAGTTTAGTAGAAAAAAAAAAAACAAACTGATAGTAAAATTTTAAATCACTATTTACACAGCTAAAATCAACTTTAGAGTCTGTTAAAATGTCAAGAGTACAGAAGAAGGGAAGAATATTGAAAGGTACAAGAGATAAACACCACATCACTTAGAGGCAAGTAACTGCAGACTTTTCTGCAGAAACCCTAAAGGCCAGGAACGCATAGAATTATGTATTTTAAGCCCTGAAAGAAAATAACTCACATTACTTTATCCTGCAAAGCTGTCCTTCAAAATTGGAGGAGAAATAAAGACACCTTTTAAAAGAGGAAATCCAATGGTCAGTAGACATAAGAGAAGTTGTTAAACCTCACTTTAATTGGGAACATGCAAATAAAAACACAGTGAGATGCTGTTACACACTCACTAGATTTACAGAAATGTAAAAATCTCATTGTAGGACATGCGTATGTGGAGCTACAGGACCTTTTATTCACTGCCAACGTGAGTTTCTGCAGTCACTGGAAGGCTGGACATTGTCTGCTTTAAAAATTGGATGCATCCTCCCTCTGACCTCAAGCAGATTTACATGCCTGTGTCCTCGGGCAATCTCTGGTTTGTGTTACCGTGATTTAGGCTGTGACCGTGCTGCTAGAGTAAGGTAAGAGGGTGTCGTGCTGTCCTAGGGTGTCACTGAGCTCAAACCTGGTCAGTTGCTGCCCTGCTTTGGAGTTAGGAGTATGAGCTCAGAATTCTAGTAGTTTTTCTTACATAGTCTTCTAATTTACAAATGATGGTGTTCTGGATGTTAGAAAGCCCCATATTTTCTTTAACTGTTAAATATAGGGTGCTGTAAAGACAGTCTTCTAGATCAGAGAAAACAACTATATTATTTTTGATAAAATAAATATTTCTCATCACACACTTGCCAAGGAGGAAAAATGAAAAACAATTATATGCTTTATTTCTTCTCTTATTTAAACAATAGCTCACTTTAAAATATACAGTTCAGTGGTTTTTATATATTTACAGAGTTGTGCAATCATCATTATAATCTAATTTTAGAATATTTTCGTTATTCCAAGAAGAAACTTCATGTACATTAGCAGATTTTCCCAGTCCGTCTTTCCTCTGCTTCCTCAGCCCAAGGTGCCGCTGATTGTTTCCTCTTTAGGTTTGCCTGTAGTTGACATTTTACATAAATAATATGTGATAGTAGTCTTTTGTGTAGATTTCTTTAGTGTAAAGTTTTTGAGGTTCATCCATGTTTTAATGTATTTCAGTATTTTTTATTGCCAGATAATAATGGATATATCGCATTTTTATTTGTCAGTTGATAAATGCTTGGATTACTTAAATTTTTTGGCTTTTATCAGTAATGTTGCTGTGAATATTCCTGTACAAACTTTTGTAGGACATGTTTTCATTTTTCTTGAAAATGGAATTATTGGGTCATATGGTAACTTAATGCTGAACTTTTAGGGGAATTGTCAAAACTGTTTTACAAAGAAGTCATACCATCTTACATTTCTACTAGCAATGTATGCCATTTTTGGTTTTCTTAAATCCTCACTGACCCTTATTATGTTTCTTTTTGATCATAGCCATTCTTGTGGCTTTAACTGGGAAAATGCAAATTAAAATGTAGTGAAATGTCATTACATACTCTCTACAGTGTTTAAATACAGTATTTAAAAATCTGACTTGCAAGAAGTGAACACATAGAGGTCTGTTACTTTTTATATGACTAAAAGATAATTTTGTCTTTTTAAATGGCTTTTGGGTGGTTCTACAGTTTTATAATTAAACTCTGCTGTATTACAGTTTACATGACTGTGTTCATATTCATTCACTCAATCAACATACCTCTGAGGGCTTAACTGTTGTTAAGAGTCCATCCATCCTGAGAGAGCCTAGGATTCACCCCTGTCAGGGACAGTGATGCCTGATTTTGTGATGTAGGAATAAAGAATGTAACTTAGCTGTAGAATTTATAAGATCGAGTAGATGTACTATTGCTCCCCAAAGCTTTTTACAAAGGAAGACCTATTACCAGTAACAGCTCTCAGATGTATTTCTTATTGTCAGCTAATTCTTTAGATAGCAGTTCTAAAAACTACAGAATGGTTTGTTTTCTGTTCTGTATTGAAGCTGTAGAACACGTAGTAAAATGTCCGTAAGAGGAAACAATAGAAGATGAAGAAATGCATTTTTGGAAAAACCTTACATGCAAAAATTTTACTTTTGAATGGCAAGCAGGTTAGTACCGAAGAAAAAAATTTAGGTTTTGGGTTTAATTGTCATTCATTCATTCATTGATTTATTTTTGGTACCAGGAATCGAACTCAGGATCTTGTGCTTCCCAGGCAGGCACTGTGCCGTTGAGCTATATCCCTGGCCCCAATTGTCATTTACTATTTGTGTGCAAGTTAAATAACTTCTTTAAATCTCCATTTGCTGACTTTTAAAGCAGGAATATTTCAGATGGTAGTAGGATGGAAGAGTTAACATACTGCATACGGCTGGGCACTGCTGTCTTCCTCCCACATCTCAAGGCAATTTATGTAAAGAAAACAATCCTTTGTAAATAAACTTTGTTCCTTCTTAAAGTAATATCAAGCTACCAATTAACTAATTATATCTAATAGTTAAAAAATGAGAAAATGTTGGCAATAGTAATATAATAATTAATTGTACAGATTGAGCATCTGCAATCCAAATTTCACAGTACAGTGCTCAGCTGGCATAATGATACCCAGATATTCCAGTTTGAAATCTGAAACAGTTCCGGTTCCAAGCAATTTAGATTAAGTACAGGATACTTAGATTGTACTCATTTCCTAGGATTTGAAAAAAAAAAAAACAAACTGATAGTAAAATTTTAAATCACTATTTACACAGCTAAAATCAACTTTAGAGTCTGTTAAAATGTCAAGAGTACAGAAGAAGGGAAGAATATTGAAAGGTACAAGAGATAAACACCACATCACTTAGAGGCAAGTAACTGCAGACTTTTCTGCAGAAACCCTAAAGGCCAGGAACGCATAGAATTATGTATTTTAAGCCCTGAAAGAAAATAACTCACATTACTTTATCCTGCAAAGCTGTCCTTCAAAATTGGAGGAGAAATAAAGACATTCCAAAACAAGCATAAATTAATTTGTGACCAGTAAGCCAGCATTCCAGAAGACACTTAGAGGAATCCTACACATAGAAGGGGAAGACTAGATAAGCTGTTGAGAATTAGAAAAATGGCAAGGTGACAGGAATTCGTACGTTTTTCTGTAATAATTCTGAATGCAAGTGGTTTTAATTCTCTAATTAAAAGGTTAAGATTGGCAGTTTGGATGAAGAAACAAGATCCAACTGCTTGCGGTGCGCAGGAAACATTCATCACTAGCTAAGTACATGTGGACTGAAAGTGAAAGGATGGAAACAATATTTCATGCAAATGGAACCTGAAAGCAAGCAGGAATAGTTAAGCTCACATCTGACAAAGCAGACTTCAAGACAAAATTAGACAAGACAAAGAGCACTGCCGACTGGTAAAGAAAGCAGTTCATCAAGAATGTTTAACAATTGTAAATATGCACCAAACATTGATGTGCCCAGATTTATAAAACAGACACTGCTTAACATAAAGGGACATATTAAGTCCCAATACAATGATACTGGGTGACTGCAGTACTCCACTTTCACCAATCGAGAGGTCACTTGGACAAAAAAAATTCACAAAGAAACATCAGTTAAACTACACTATAGATTAAATGGACTTAACATGTTTACTAAACATTCTGTCCAATAAATACAGACTGTACATTCTTCTCAGCACCTCATGGAATGTTCTCCAAAACAAGTTATATTTTAGACTATAAAGCCAGTTTTAACAAATACAAAAGCACTGAAATTATTCCTTGGATCTTAACAGGTTATAACTGAAAGAAATTAGAAATCAGCAGCAAGAGGAACTACAGAAACTATACAAACACATGGAGATTGAACAATTCACATTTGAATGGCCAGTGGGTCATTGAAGAAATCAGAGAAAATTTAAAAATTCCTGGAATCAAGTGGAAAAGGAAATACAGTATACCAGAGTTTCTGCAGTAAAGGCAATTCTGAGAAGGAAGTTTGTAGCTATGAATGCCTGCATAAAAAAATCAGAGAGCTGGGTGTTGGTGGTATATGACTATAATCCCAGAACTTGGGAGGCTGAGGCAGGAGGATCACTGCAAATTTGGGGCCAGCCTGGGCTATAGTGAGAGAAGTTAATGGGATGAATATGATCAAAGTATGTGGATTGAAACCAAATATTTTATAAAATTAACTGGTAAAATAAACTTGAAGATGGAAAGTGAATATAACTGGTTGAGTAATTTTATTGTATAGTGATGTAATGAATACATATTTTTACAATATTTAAAATATCAACTGTAGATTCTACTATTTCAGGATACAGTATAGTAATTAAAAATTCTTTACAAGAAAAGATTTTAAAAATAATGATCATATTCTTTGCAACAGAACATTCTTATATTTGTAAGAATCTTCCCTCTCTGCCTCCCTCCCTCCCTTATTTCTCTCTCTCTCTCTTTTTCTTTCTGTCTTCCTTTCTTTCTTTCTGTCTTTCTTTCTGTCTTTCTTTCTCTTTCTCTTTCTCTCTCTCTCTTTCTCTTCCTTCCTTCCTTCCTTCCTTCCTTCCTTCCTTCCTTCCCTTCCTTTCTTTTATTCATTCATTCATTCATTCTTTCTGAGACAGGGTCTCACTATGCAGTTCAGGCTGGCCTTGAAGCCCAGGCTGGTCATGAACTCGCAATAATCCTTCGGCTTCAGCCTCCTGAGTGCTGGGATTACAGACCTGTGCCACCACACCCAGTTTGTAAGAATGTTTGTGATGCAAGGCATTATTGATTATAAATTTAAGATTCTATTTTTCAACATTGTGCTAAAAATCATTAATCTGCACTTAACTGAGAAAACTACTATTTTTATATAAGGTGTGATAAGGTCAGGCCATACCTGTATCAGAGTAAAGTTTGCTTTCATCCTGAGTTACTCAATTAAATACAGTGAATGTTACATTTTGAATAAATTTAAAACTCCTTGAGGACCTGTTAGCTGGAATTTTTAAAAAAGTTGGTGCTATAGTTCTTGTGTTACATTTAGTATTACAAAATTTTTGGGATAGAAAAGTGAATTTAGAAGAAGGCTTGCCTCTTTGGTCAGTTTTGAACAGCTCAACTATATATACCAGTGAATCACATTCGAGATGTTATATTCTTCCCATTTTAGGTTTATCTGTTACTTATTGTCCCCAGTGGGGAGGAGTTTATTCTTCATGCAGAGGACTGAATATTGACCACCTTTATTGTTTTAAGTACAAATCACTATAATGCATAAATTATAACATCAAGTTTTATGAATGAGTTGTATTATCTCTATTAAGGCTTGTCATTGGAAGAGATGGAAAAATATGTTCCATTGAGGCAGTGCCTATTTTTGTC